ACACAGACAGAACACGTGATCCCCAATTAAATCTTAAGGAAGAAAGAAGCAGGAAGGAAACGTGTTCGTAGAATCAACGAGCTATTCGATCGATCGATCGATCGAAAGACATACAGAGAAAGAGAGAGAGAGAAACTGTGAGTGAGAGATTAGATTTATTCAAAACTTAATGAAGAAAGAATACCTAGAGAATATAACAGTCAAATGACACGCTGAAGACAAATTCAAACGGAGTATAAACTACTTAATGAGTTTGAATGGATAGTCTAACAGGGACAAAGGTCGAAGGTAACGTTATTTCTTACACCAATCACCCAATCCAAGGCTCGAGAGACATTCAAATTAGAAGGTTACTGTTAAAAAACTGTAATGATTAACGAGGTGTGTGATATAAATGAACGAGAAGGTGGGAGGGGCGTGAGAATGAGCGGATAGATAACGATTGGCCCTTGGCATGAAGAAGTTGATTTTGTACTTCATCAAAGAAAAATGTTTTCAAACATTATTTTCTGGGTAATGGCGAAATTATCAGTTTACTTAGAAGGAAACACTCGGCATTTATTGGCTAAATAGTTAGCGTTACTGTAGGTTGAAATTTATAAAAATTCTCTTAAAATACTTTTTCAAAAAAATAGAATCCTCAAGTCTAGTTACCGATCGGAATTGCCTTGCAAACCTTTTGTTTAAAGTACTGTGCAATATCAATATTTCATTATATTGTTTTCCCTTATAGTTACATGTGCTATCCATTGTAGTTGTTGCTGATGGTGGAAGTCTTCAAGTGAGATTTTTTTTTGTTTTTTAAAGCATTTCACCCCAAGCAAGGTGGGTGTGTCACTAGTACGCAAGGGGCCACAGAGAATGCAAGTAAGGGGAAAAAAACTAGTTGCTGGAGGAATTGAGGAAAAGATAAAAAGAACGGAGAAAGGTAATAAAAAGAACGGGGTTCAAAGCATCAGAAGATATCGATTGACATTACATTTCAGTTTTTGAAGGTTATAGCTATCAGGGAAGCAGGTTAAAAGAAGGGAGTTCCACTGTCGGGGAGTGCAAGAGAAGAAGCTGTTGGAGTAGAAGAGGCGGTTACATTTAACTGTTTTGACAGTAAAAAGATGGGACCGAGTAGAACGCTTAAATTCATGCATATAAAACCAGTGAAAATAGCTCTTCAGAGCAGTTGCCATGAAAATATTTATAGAAAAGACAAGGTGAAGCTCAACTACGTCGGTGAGAAAGTCACTGGAGTCAAGACCCCCAAGTCAGACCCGAACAAATTACATATTCGTCTTAGTAAGAGGAAGGGAGTTCCGCTGTCGGGAAGTGCGAAAGAAGAAGCTGTTGGAGTAGAAGAGGTGGTAAAATTTAAATGTTTCGACAGTGAAAGTTTATGACCGAGATGCCAATCTAGTAGTACGCTTAAAGTCGGGGCACCAGTGAAAATATCTCGTCAGAGCAGTTGTCATGAAAATATTTGTAGAAAAGGTTTGCTATTTAGTAAAGATCTTTCTTTGTGTGATTCTGTAGCGCCAGTCTGTAAGATCTGATGAATTAGTCTTTAAAACCTAATTCACTTGAAGCCATTTTTAATCATTGATCTGAGGAGACAGTTATATATAATTAGATAAACTTTCTTAATATAACTTGTTACGCCTCTTCACTACAGGTTTACTCACTTCAAGTCTCAGATTAGCCGTCATCTATCTTCCATAACCGTATAATCTGCATTTACTTCCTCCTCTTGTGTTCATTTAACAACCATGATGCGGCTTTTATTATTTGATAAAGCTTTACGTTTATAATGTCTTCTTATAAAGAAGGGAATACAGTCATATTATATTGAAACATCGGTTTCCGTAAGATCACCGAACTTAAGCAATGGTGAACCTGGTCAGTAGAATTGTTAATGGGAGAGCCGAGTTCTAATTGCCGTTGGGTTCATTATATTCACTTACGCTCAAATAGTCCATTTTTCTTCTCCCCAGCTATGGATTAATTAGTAAGCATTGTACTTGAAAAAAGAAAAAAAAATTCTTGCAATATAAAAATAATTTTCTGGCATTAAAAAAGCTACAAAAGGCCATAGAAAACGAGTCAATCAATCAATGAAATACTGATACAGGCATGTCTTTCCGATTTATTTACATTCTCTGGAATATATATATACTAGCAGTATAACCCGTCTTTGCCCGGGTCTTTCATTACTGGGAATTTTTGCTGTTCACTTGGAGCAGTTTAAGTTTAAAGTCAGCCCACCTGAAAATCAATATTAGTAACAACATTTGAGTGCAACTGAGGCACCCCACCAAATGGGGGGGGATTTAACAATTTGAAGGGGGGGGACTGGAAGGGGAACTGTATAATAATAAATATTATAAATAATATATTAATAATTTAAACTATTTATTTTTATTCATTTTTTTTATGAAAGATATATATCCAAGAACAGATAGTAAATAGGAAAACTTTTCTGAGAGTTATAATGGACAGGAAGTAGTGGAGGGCCATTGTCGACAACAATTTGGACTCAAAACCGGCACGGAAGAATTATCTATCAAACAAAAAAAATTCATCGAAATCGGATGAAAACTGGAAATCCGATCACAAACGCACACACACTTATACACACACACACACATTTTGAGAATTATAGATAGAAACCCATCATCTTACGGCCTCAGCCGAGATTGAACTCACTAATCCTTTGATTGGTGTAGTTCATAATCTTGTCAAATAGCTGAATTCTTGATGCTTCGCTAGGGCTATCAAGGGTGTTGTTTATCGTGACACCAACACTAAATGGATTGCCAACCAAGGCTCAGAGAGACTCCATTCACCCTCCTCTAAGAGCAGGTTTGAATTCAGAGTTTTCCTTCTCCTAGACCAGTTGCCATCCAAAGCTATAGAACCCAGTCTGTCCTGCTATTTTCCCATAGCTGGAGGGAGAAGAAGAGGATTCATACCTTTCCCAAGGGTGTTAGCACGTAAGTGAATGTAATGGATTCGACTAGAATTCGAACTCGGCTCTCCGATTCCTCAATCCAAGCCGCTATCCATTACTCCACCGTGCCTCCTTTAAATAGATAGAAACTACCATGACCACAAATTAAGGGATCAGTTTATATATTGATTTAAATATAAAACTCATCCCCCACTTTATATCCACATTATAATTTCTTGTTTTTTTTATGAAATTCTGATTAGATATGAATACACATCTACTCCCCATAACTAAGGGTTAATTAGTAAGATTTTTATCACTAAAACATTATTATCTCCAAAAGTATTCTAACAATCTAAAAGTATTTTATGGCTTTATATAACCTGTAAAAGGTTGATAAGCCGTAAAAAACGAATCAATCAGCCTTATGAAGGATTGTTTTCTTTAAGATTTAGACGATTCATTTGAAACCATTTTTAACAGTGAGCTGAGAAAACGGTTTTAATAGAAATGCGCTGGAAATAATTTTAATGTAAAAATACATTGAAACAATGAAAAAGAAGACTATCTAGAGTCAGGAGTGCTTGCTTACTGCTGAATTACCAGTTTCTGTGAGCTCACTGAAGTTCAGAAAAGTTGAACTTGGTCAGCACTTATATGGGTGACCGCTGCCAATTACCAGGTTTTGTAACCTACTTGGTAGGCCTAACAATCCATTGATGTACTCAATCTTGCCATGCTTACTCGAAGAAGACCTCGATATGTGGATGTGCTTCTGAACTGACAAGTCGAAAGAGCTACCTGGAGTCGAGCGAGTATTGGGTGTGGGGGAGGAATACAATTGTTACTAACAAGGAGAATATCTTTAGTTACAACCAATCTTTGGGTACAAAACTGTATTTATCTACGATACGAAAGAATTCACATTGCACAGTTCCATCTTCTTGGAAAAATGTGGTTTACTGAGGTCAATAGAGGAAAAGAGGTCGTTACTGTAAATCAATTCTTTTTTAAATGTATTTTTTTTTTCGGTATCTTCTGCGGGAGTAAGAAGCATGTCTCCTCTGGCATCAATAAAAGTTTTCGGTCTGATGGGCCCAAGAGAGAAAACTAAATAAAATAAACGTTCTAGAGAGAAATATTACCTATTTGAATACAGGGGAAATATGGATTTTTTTTTAGGTACTGGGGCGCCGGAATTCTAGTATTAACGTTGAATTTTTTTCTCTCTTTCCCCACCTCTGGATTCGGAAGGAGAAATGAGATATTTTCTGTTAACTCACCCCAAATAAGTTACTTATCGCAAATATTGATTCACCCCAAGAAATTATAAATTTTAAATCAAAGTTTGTTTGCTTTTTTTTATTAAATTTTTGGCATTCCTTTGAAATTATAAATTTTAAATCAAAATTTGTTTAACAACAACTCCAACACTCAGAATAAAAAATTAACAAAACTCAGGGAGTAATTCACATTGGAACTGTGCAATGTGAAGTACGGATGATATTCGGGGTACTTATAAGGAATTTTTAAAATTAAAAAAAATATATAAACTGTTCTTGGTTTGTTTATCGGGGTGAGCGCGAACAGAGACCCCACACTTGGTAATAGCGCACTCGAGAAAAAACATTTGAGGGCGACCGCAAAGGTCAAACGAACCGGAGTGCAATGGAAGGGCCTCGATCTGGGAGAAATTGGTGTGAATTTTAATAAATATAAATTATTTTGTTTTGGGGTGAATTAATATTTTGGGGCGACTTGACAGTTTAAAAAGTTTTCCAAAATGGAAAGAAAATAAAATTGCCAAAATTGTTTTGAAAAGTTCAAGCGAGGGCGGAAACAAATATCATTTCTTTAGTTTTAAATCGCTTTCCATAGAGACACAAAGTTGCAAGCCTATCGCTACTCTATCGCTATTTCCATGGCAAACGTTCAGATGAGCGCCATTCTTTAGTCCCACTGGTCCAAACTGTTACAGCGTGAACGTGTCATGTTACTTTCACGGAGTCGAATCATCTTCATTTCTCCTGTGTTCCAAATATAAGACTTACATCAACATCAC